ACTCACTGCAACCTTCGCCTCCCAGGTTCAATCGATTCTCCTGCCTCAGCCTCCCGAGTAGCTGGGATTACAAGCACCTGCTACCACTCCCGGCTAATTTTTTATTTTTATTTTTTTGGTAGAGACGGGTCTTTCACCATGTTGGCCAGGCTAGTCTCGAACTCCTGACCTTCTGATCCGCCCGCCTAGGCCTCCCAAAGCCCTAACTTGCTTTCCCCACCTGAGTCCAGCTAGTTCCTCTGCTTCAATGAGAACGTATCCAAGAGAAGATCAAATCGGGCTTTGACCCAGACTGCTTAGGTTCCAACCTCAGCTCCACCTCTCACTAGTCGGGTACCTATGCGCCCTGTGTCTCACTTTCGTTTTTAAAATAGAAAAAAGGGATACTTCTCCACAGAGCCACGGCGTGGCATAAGCCCTTGGAATGAAGTTATTAATTAAGACTTAATATCAACACTCATGCTCAAGGAAACATCCTATACACTCTCGGTTGGGGTGAGGATCTCTGACAAAGAAAAGAACCAAGGACCACTCACGTAGAGCTTTGCCCTCAGAAGCCAAGTCCCTCCTTGCAGCTGTTTTGGAATGGTCGGGTTGGGGAAGGAGAAGGCTGTGAAACACCCTGACCGCGTCAAGTAGCTGGGACTCTACAGGTGCCTGCCATAAAAGTTAAATTCTCCTGTCCCTTCCTGGAAGCGCACGCAACCCTCGCTCTCCTAAAAAGAGGTCAGAAGGCGTCCGGGATCATCCAGCGTCCTGCAGGGATCAGGGAGAAGGGCCGGTGCCCCTGCAGCTGGAGCTCTGACCCCACCAGCGGATCTGACAGCCTTCGTGAGAAATTAACAAGAGATCACTAGTCACCAAGTGACGAGGACTGATTTAAGGCTCTCATCTGTGTTACCTCTTCCAGTTCCCAAATCGATTCTATCAGGATGGTCCTAAAGTGTCCATTTTAAAGAACAGTAACGGCAGACCCAAGGAGATGAACACCCCAACGTTATATCGGGAGGAAGTGGCCACGCGCGTGGGGTGCAGGGAGGCAGAATGCGCGAGCTCAGAGCCCCGGAAACACCGAAACCAGGTGAGACGCGACCCGACCAATGCACGCGGGACGCGAGGACAGCCCCGTGCCCAAGAAGGGCTTGACGAAAACTAGAACAGCGGCCCTCGTCCCTCCAAACCTCTACTCTCCGGCGAGACTCCTCTACCCCTAATTCGATCACCAGTTCGTTGAGAATCCAAGGCGTAGGTCCCGGAAATTCAGAAAGGTCCTCAAGGCGCGGAACTGACCCAAACTGTCGCGGGCAAACTGCACCAACCTCAATCCCCGAGCGGAAGCGCCCGCGACGCCTCTGAGTATTTGGACTCCACTTCCCAGAATGCCCCGGGATCCGCCTGCCGTAGCCAAACTGACCGCTACTCCACTGAGCGTCTGGACTACACTTCCCAGAACTCCCCTGGATCTGCCTGCCAGAGTCAAACTGACCGCGACTCTACGGAGCGTCTGGACTGCACTCCCGCAGCATCACCCTCCAGGGGTAGTGTTCCCAACTATTGGAAAGCCCTTCGCTGCTCTTCTCACGGGGAACGGATCCCATATCCCCGAGCGCCTGTTGGGAAATGTGGACTTCTACCCTGAGAGTCGTCCTTCCCTCTCCCCAGTACCCAAGAGAAAATATCTTATAGGCAGGAATTCCTGCAGTCTAAACGCCTCTAGGGATGACAGGAGTGTTACTGGAAAGGGAACAAGGAAGATGATACAATCTTCAAATAATTATTTGAAGATTTTGCCAGTAGTAGGAAATGGCATGTAGTTTTATATCTCTTGTAAACAAAATGGAATATTCTTGTATATTTTCAAATGTCATTATTACGTTTTCTGTAAATTATCCGGATGTTTTGCCCACTTTCCTGTTTTTTGGTTTTTAGCCCTCATTTTTCAAGCACAGTTTTAATATTCATGATATTAACATTTTATCTCGCAAATATTTTCTCAACAAAAACGTTCGGTGTTTTTTCTTTCTTGTTTTATCTCTACAAAATATTTTAACGTATTTTATTTAACGTATTTTATTTAAAACATCTCTATTGAGGTGTAATGCACAAAACGTAAAATTCACCATTTTAGGATATCTGGTACAAATAAAGTTAGGAAACATTTTCATCACCCCAAAGACTCCATACCCACTAAGCAGTCACAGCAACTGCACCATTTTTACATTCCCACCTTCAGTGCGTAAGGGTAGTAATTTCTCCATATCCTCTCCAATACTTATTTTATATCTATGTATAAAATGTGTGTGTGTGTGTGTGTGTGTGTGTGTAAATTGGAAACGGGATCTCCCTATGTTGTGCAGGCAGGATTGCAGTGGCTATTCACAGGCAACATCCCATTACTGATCAGCATGGGAGTTTTGACCTGCTCTGTTTCCACCTTGGGCCAATTTACCCCTCCTGAGGCAACATGGTGGTCCCGTGCTCCTGGGAGCTCACCACGTTGATGTCAACTTAGTGTGGGCACCCGGCGGACATAACTCGATACACCTCAGAACTCCTGGGCTCAAGTGATCCTCCTACTTCAGCCTCCCAAGTAACTGGGACTACAGTGCCTGCCACCACATTGGCTATTTTCTATTTCTAAAAATGATAGCTAAGATAGCTGTTGTAGGCCGGGCGCGGTGGCTCAAGCCTGTAATCCCAGCACTGTGGGAGGCCGAGGCGGGTGGATCACGAGGTCAAGAGATCGAGACCATCCTGGTCAACATGGTGA